GCAGATTTCCATCAAAGAGTAGCTGATAGTGCAGTGTGCTACTGCACTCCCACTGAGCAAACACAGGCCGAGTTCTGGCTGCATGACACAGGTGGGTTTCATTTGGAATAAATGTCAGTGTTACTGACAAATGCAACAAACGTATTTACATCAGAGCTGAAAGAGAACAGGATAAGAAGTGATGCTTACAGGCATAAAGACGAGTTTTCGCTGAAATCTAACACTTGGCACAGAACCTGCATTGCACACTTGGACTGGCCTGGCTACTGGTTTTACTACTGAAGCCACTGCTTGAACACAGAATATATTATTACTGCTGCAGTAATAAAGTGTACAAAGATGAGCCACCCATAGTACAGTTTATGATTCAATGAAAAAGTAAATATCAGCCCATACTAAGCTGGTTTTTCCTCATGGGTTGGAGAAAGAAAGAAAGGGCAGAGGAATACACTTTATAATACATTATAAATAAATTAAATGAACAACATCAATACTGTGGTAAGCCAGTGGATTCTAGAGATTCTGGCAAGGAATGACACTGGAGTCAGGTTCTTCTTACGCAAGCTGCACCGTGTACACCGCACGACCCCGGATGGCCACTGCTTTTATTACAGAACATCACACTGAAGATCAGAACTTCTATTAAAGCCAAAATCAGAGTTGAGTTGAGATGGTATGTAAAATCAAAATTAAAACTAAAAATAGTGATTTGTAAATCATTACAAATCATTATTTGATGTGATATCTCATCGGATTTATTCTTTGTTCAAAATAAACACTCACTTCAATTCTGGTGCTACAACACATTCCAAAAAAGTTGGGTCGGCTGCATTTCAGGGCCAGTAGTGAGGTAAAACAATGAAATGATGATTCCATTTGAACCAGGTGATGTTAACAGGTGACTGCATCATGATTTGGTACAACGGTGGCATACAGGAAAGGCCAAGCCCTTTAGGAGCAAAGGTGGGCCAAGGACCGCCAGTTTGCCAACATATGAGAAAATTATTGAAATATTTGAAAACAATGTTCCTCAAAGAAAAATAGGAAGGGATTTGGATCTGTCGCCTAATACGGTGCAGAACATCATTAAAAGATTCAAGGAATCTGTAGGGATTTCAGTGTGT